ATGAACAGAATTGCAAGCAACTAAATATCCGAATAAATTTAAACGTACTACTTTAATATATTTTATACTTAGATGGGTAAATATGTGACAGAGAGCTGCAAATTTATATCACCCAGCACAGTTAAAATTTCAAATCGATACAATTAAATGCGTACGCTCACAATACATGCAGGACGAGAGGGGACGCTATATGTAATATGTATGAATGGCCTATGAGATTCATTTGAAATTTAAAATTTGCAATCGTCCACTTTCATCACATATGTACAGTGTACACGCTCTGATACAGAGGCTGTGTATCATATGATATATCTGATTAAATAGAGAACGTGACCAACGTTATTAATTACAGCTATAGAATTGCGTAGATCTTACGAAGGTTTTGGGAATGCAAATAAAGAATCCATTGTTTCCGCAACCGAACCTTGTGACATGGTTAATTTAAAAATTTTGAAACATTACATGAAAATTATAACCACGTAGCTATTTCTACTAGGAAATGCCAGCAATTAAAACCCAAATGAACAACAAATTGCATAGATTTTTCAAATAAATTTCAATGTAAAATTACAAGAATAACCTATAGTAAAAAACGAATTTTAGCTTAACATGGTGATATTGTTAAATTGATTAAATTTAATGTACAGACAGAAAATCAATATAATATCCTATTTTATACACAGACAAAAAAATAATATACTCATATAAAGTAAAAACAAACATGATTTATTTAAGGTTTGCGAGTGATTCAACAAGACAGTGGAGTGCCATTGTTTCACGCCGGTATAATGTGCCAGGCTTGAGACTGACAGTTTTGACGCTAACTATACACCTGTGGCCCTTTTCAACAATATATCACATACTGTACTCTTATATCAGCGAAAAAATCTTAAACTGCCTCGGTGGTGTAGTGGCTAGCATGTACGGCTGCACTTCCGGAGGTCCTGGGTTCGAGTCCCGGGTCGGGCCAAGTTTAGTTATTGAGTCTTTCTGTATAGTAAGCCTCAGTAACAGCCCGGAGTTGGGAAGTTGGCGGTGTTTCACCCCCGTGCCTCGGAGAGCACGTAAAGCCGTCGGTCCTGCGCCTTAACTCTCACCGGTCGTGTCGAGTGGTCGTCCCACCGGTGTATGACAGTGATAGGAATAGAGAGTGCACTTGTGTCTGCGCGTACACTTGTGCACTATAATATCTCCTGCGCAGTTGGCTAATCTCAATGAGATTGGCCGCCGTAGCCGGAATCGGCTAGGAGAACATCATCATCATCATATCAGCGATGTTCACTTAATTTACTAAATCAACTATCGTATTGCGATACAAGAATAAGTTGAGCTTGCTTTTATAGAAAACTAGCTTTTGTCCACTGCTCCGCTTGCGTAGTTTGTACAAACTATAGATCGCAGCGTGATTTTAGGTAATAGATTAGACCTTCCATAAATAGGCTTTATAATGTAAAATATTTTTAAATCTGTAGCAGAAATATTTGTTTGGTCAAATATTAAAAAAAAAATAGTCCCTTAAAATTTATAATTTTTAGCACCTAAAGTCTGTTACTGATTGAATATATTAACGAAACATTTAAACTAATTTATTTTGTGTTTTATTTAATCATATAAAACACTTTTATGTGTAAATTAAAAAAACCTGCGCTCAAACAAAGACTAAATAAAAAAAAAGAAAATTTCCATTGACTGAAAAAGTACCAAGTTTCCGGTCAGCACACACTAAAGTATAAACAGTTAGTGCATTTCGAAAATAAAATGAGAGAATGTAAATATTATAAATCGAGGTAATTACTTACTAAGTATTTATACACCACTTATTTCCACTACGAGAGATGGAGTGCAGCGCAGTTTATACGTGCTAGTTAAAATATAATTACAGCTTTTTCCTAGAGTAATGTAAATTGAATTGCAAGCCTATTTTGAAATTATTGCAATACACATTACATTTTGACGTTCAATATAGCTTTACAAATATGCTTAATGCAATCTGAAAGCGAATTGTGCCTTGACATAAAAAAAACACATTAAATAAATTAAACAAGCAATATTATAAAACAAATTAACGATATTAATTTGCTTAAATTAAATAAATACCTCAGACAGCTAAAATGGCAACAAATAAGACTAAACGGCGGCGATCAAAACTTTCTCTGGCATATTCCACTACACATAGTATCTACAGTCGAGAGATCAAAACGCGAGAGCCTTCATTGAGCGGCTCCCGGGCGTCTATTTTTAGGGGCTGGGGGGTAGAGACGGTAGGTGGAGGCTAGGCTGTGACGTCACGCCCCTTCCATTGAGCCCACTCCCCCACGCTGTGAACGAGACGAAACATGTGTTCGCTGTTCTAGCTTCTCGCATGGAAAAATTGTTATCTGATTGGGTTGCGGGCGTTTTAATTTCCAAATATTGGCTATAGAAGCCCTTTCATTTGTCCTTGTGTTATATTTGGAGTCTCTCAATACAAGTACATGTTCTTAGAATTTATTTTATTTACTATGACTATTGACTACCCACTTTCATACCTACGGTATCGGCTACGGTTCAACAAAAACACTATATAAATTATTATCTGATGTAAATTCTAGACTCTGGTGAAAGTATTTTAATATTTATAATTCTTCTGTACGTGTGTTTGTTAACCTACTCCTCCTAAAGGGCTAGACCGACTTGGATGAAATTTAGTGTATATATTTCAATGGGCTCCTGGATGGTTTGAAAACACAATTGAACCCGGTAGGGGGCGCTGCAGTCGGTGCGTCACAAAATTTTCAAAGAAGAGTCTTCTTTTTTTTATTTTTCCAGCAATAAATAAATTTAAATTGTTGATTAAATAAAATAAAAATTGATGTATGTATGTTTCCTATGGACTCCAAAACAGCTGGAGCTATTTTGATGAAATTTTCAGGTAATCTTCAGATTAGTCCAGCGGGTGATCCTGTGAATTTTGTTAGCGATCGGAAATTTGGCAGCGGGCGAAGCCGCGGGTACTGCTAGTTAAATATAATATTTAATATTACTTGTTCTATCCCTATTTTCTAAGGGACTTATACCTATATAAAAGAGAGTTTGCTTAAGCCCGTTTCATTTGAAGGACGTAGTACAATGAGGCTTAAAGATGATGAATGGATTTTGTTATTCATTTCAGCTTGCTATATTTTGTATCTGAGCTGTGGTTTCGGCCAGGTAAATGTTTACCTTTATATTTAAGTACTAAGCCCAACGTAAAATATGTACCTTGATGTACTTATTTTTTAATTATCTTTACCATTTGGACTTGACAATACATATTTTGACATCAGATTTATAAAAAATCTGGAATGTATTTGTATAGATGCAAAGATTTAATAAATGTAGCTAAAAAGAACTGTGGTACATCACTAATCTTACATAAACATTCTTGATTATGGTTACACAAATAATTTTGTGCAGCGTACATGCTTAAAATGATAACCTTTGTATAATAAATAGTTTAGGAGATAAGTATAAACTTGTTGTAATTACATACATATTACTTTACGATTATTCATATGGATAGAAACAAGTTGCTTTTTAAAACAAACAAAATATATACAACCTAACTTATGTACATAGATACATACTGCAAATCTATTATGGTGGGAGACTGCATTGAGATTACGATGCCACTCGTCTTTAAGGCGCTTTTAAATATGGTTTTATTTCTTAAAAAGAAATGTTCTCACATCAGAAACATATGTAGCGCTCCATTCCCACACTCTTATTGAGTGCTTGATATAGTTACACGTTTTACCAAGTGCGTGTTTACGGTACAGTAGATATATCTAATTTACTTTTAAATAAAGTACATTACACATAATGAAATCGACGAATCTTTTTAGTCAACTGTAGCGTTTGAAAGTGTTTAAAGCTTGTTGCAAACGATAATTAAAAAAAACCTCCTTCCGTTGAAAATAGCTTAAATTCGTCAAAATTTAAATAAACAATCACAACGCTTTATATAAACAAATAATTCTACTGGAACGCCATTTTTAACAGCAACTAATCATTCTCATATATCTGTCTAAAGTCATTTATTCGTCAATGAATATTATAACGGTGTTGCTATTATAGTACAGTTAGTTCACGACATTTATTAGGCGTTAAATAAGCTGGGTGTAATGCAAGCGCTACATTACGATCCGTGCACACCGCGGCACTTATTGTCGACGTGAGTCAACTGTGCAACGCTTACCATAAGCTGCAGCTATAAATGGATCTTTGTGGAGTTTTCCCTCAATAATGTGAATTGTAAGTTATAATTAACATAATAACATGATTTGATCATCAGCAAAGAAAAATGTGTTTAATTCAATCGATTCTAATATTTTTTAAATGAAACTATCTTCTCGGATTTTGTCGCGGTATTGTTTTGAATGTTAGTTCTTGATATTTCAAATGCTGTCTGTTTGTTCCGGATAATCTCTATAACGGTTGGACTGATTTTGACGGGACTTTCACTGGAAGATAGCGGATGTTATAGGGAGTAACATAGGCTACTTTTATTTGAGTAAAAAAGTTAGGGTTCCGCTCAAAAATATTAAAACGTACCTAGGGACGAACCCGAGCGAAGCGAGGGTAAGTCACTAGTCGATAATAATGAATGACTACTTTGATAAGATTTTCCAAAAAATATTTTAATACATAGATTCGACTCAGAATTTTATTATATACATATAGATATTTAAAAAAATAAAAAGTCTTCAAAATGACTTAAAAGTAATTATTCCGCCATTAGGATTTTTTCTTGAAATCTATATGGGCTTATATAAAATGAAATTTAATATAAGATAATATTTTCTTGTTATCCATTTACATAAATAACTCCTTTACTTGTTTTAACCAGACTTAACCACAGCAAAAGCGTGACAGAGTGAGTATCTTTAGCTGGTATACATTTTCAAATCAGCACAATACTGCTAGAAACTCTTGTGTTGTTTGCATTCGATTAGATATTTTAGTGATAATGATATTCCCTATTTCCCCAAGAACATTGCCAAGCTTGTTCTTTGAATAACAAGTAGATGGTTTTTCAATGATGCATTTAAATGATGTCGAGTATTTACTTCTTGTACTTCCTTCCTGTTTGCACGAGCGGTCGATTCATTAACAAAGTGATTGTAACCTATAATTAATAAATAAATATGTTGGGACATTAACACACAGCACCATCTAGTTCCATGGTAAGCTACGAGGCTTGTGTTATGGATACCAGATAGTTGTACACATATATAACTTAAAATACATAGGTACATATTAAAAATATAAACACCCATGACTGGAGTACAAACATTCGTGCTCGTCACACAAATTAATGACCCCAGCGAGCCTGGAACCCGCGACCGCTAACATAGCAAGTAGGGTCACTATAAATTGAGCCAAACATGTGTTGTTTATATAACAACAAATTCTTAACTAGTTTATGACCTCCCGTCAAAGTTAGTATAGCTATTTTAATTAATACATTATTTTGAAATAACCATTATTTGACTCTGCCACTAAGAGAATACGCGACGACAAATATCACAGAAGCCGTAAACAATTTAATTAACTTTACTTGTAGGAAAAGTATCAACAATTTGCGATGTTGTTTACTGACCTCGATCTCTTTTCGAATACCGCTTGTTTTTACTGGTGTTGTTTACCTGGAAAAAAATAGCAAATTCAATTATTGTTTTTTTTAAACACTAAAGAACATGTCATTTTTAAAAGATTTGACATATTGACAAGCGCTTCTTTGTCTAAAATTGCATTAATAGCGGCTGTATTTTCTATAGTAGAATGTCATTATGGAAACAACAATAGTCAGTATGTCTTATCTTCCCAATACAGTTCCAACTGCTTAGTGTCTTTACTCTATACGAGTAATAATATCTATTAGCTTATTTTTACCTACTACATACACTTCTGCAGAATTAAATACTGTTTATTCCATATAACAGTAAATTGTATGAATATCGTTTATTTTTAAATTTTAATTAAAATTAAATAAAATTTAATTAAAATTAAATAATAATTACTAATCATTATTTTTTACAAAACAAATCACAGAATGCAGTTTGTATAAAGAACACGCGCTAGTGCAAGGAGATTTTCTAAAAAATAAAACACTTTAGTTAAGAAAATAGACACTATCGATGCTATCGATCCTGTGATAAAGCTCGCCTACATACATCACTGTCTTTGCCTGCTCCTTTAATTTAAAGGCAATGCAAAATAGTGTTAAATGGACCGTGTTTAAGTTCAAATTAGCATATCGCTCAGCAGAAAATAACTGATATAGATAAAAAGTAACTATAAAGACTAAACCGTAAGGTACATAGTGCAGTGACACACATCTTTGAACCATTTAATAGAAATCTAATCCAATGATTCGATAAAACTGTAGGAGAAAGCAATTAACTACATGTTTTGTCTGAGGGTACATTTTTAAAATCCTCTACGCTTCTAACACTAAGAAATAGAAACAGTTGTTTTTAATCGTAGGTAATTCTTATTTATTAGACGACGTAAAAATAAATTACAAGAATCTTTTCTTGTACTCCTCTTCATTTATTGAAACTATTTTCTATATCTATATTATCTTGGCATTCAAGAGATTTTTATTACATATGTGAGAATTTCAGTATTCTGAGTTCTTTTTTTAATTTATGTAACGGAGACACTGTAAAGCCTAACAATATGTATTATACGGTATAGCTTAACAACACTTATTTTTTTTCTGATAAAATTCTGTAAAAGAGGCATAACAGCTATTAGGCTAATTTATTAAATCTAACTGCTAACTTGCCCGTGGCTCTCTTTGTACCTACAGTTTATTCACGTAATTGATCGAGCGGATCAAATACATAAATATTTTTTTTAATCTGATCGGCATTGTTGAAGGCTTTGAAGATTACCGCATTTAATAAAACAATAAAAAGAAACAAACTCTTCAACTTTATAATACTTGCGTAGATTTGCCATTACAAGAAACCCTGACTGCATTATGTTCAATGTCGTTTTACACGAGACATGCATGCTAGCGTCTAACATCGAATGCAATTGTACCGGGTTATCTACGAACGTAGCAAATAGACGAACATATAGAGTACCAGGGTGCATTGCACTCTTTGCAGTGGCCTCGGCGACGACGTGCGTCATAGCTAACAATACTGAATTGAAATTTATAGGATAGTTAGCTTTAATGAATACTATATACAATTTATTTGGTGATAAAAAATTCATTAAGCATTGCAAGCTGCACGTTAATCTGCAACCAAAGACATAAAACTCATATAGTATAGATATAAAAGATCTTCTAGGCTCACAGGCCTTCTTATTCGTGTATTTAATGTTAAAAACGTATTGCATTAGGTATATTTTCTGTTCAACGTGATCCACATTTAAATATCGAATATCTTATCAACAATTGATTGCCCTTGAGAGGTCTAGATGGCAAAATATTTACACCATTTTTAAAGAGGTATGTAGCAATAAATATTCATTAAAGTAAAACCTGTTTGTAAAACTTTAATTCGATCACTAAAATAACAAGTTACATCTAAGCACCTATACAGATAAAATCTGCTTTCAAATCGCCCACGCATAGAGCACGAGCTTTCACTAGATGCGCCTAACCTTACAGATAAAGTACCTTTACGGCACAATACATAACTATCCTCCTACAGCATACAAATGATTTAAACGGTTCTATAGATATGACGGGCGACATACTTCGATGCGTGAGTACTTATATGCAGCTTTGAAGTTCTTACTAGTTTCTTGTGCTCGAGTATAAGAGTCATAACATTCACGTCATTGCGCGTAGACTTGTATCAATAAACATCTGTCAAGCATAAACTTATCTTATGAGTGAAAGAAAGGCTTAAATAAATATTTTATAACGTAACGTAGACGATAAAAATATAGTCAGTCATATGTATCTGACGACACGTTTGGCTCAGTTTGTACTGACCCTACTTGCTGTGCCAGCGGTCGCGGGTTCGAGTCCCGCTGGCGGCATTAATTTGTGTGATGAGCACGAATGTTTGTACTCCAGTCATGGGTGTTTATATTTATAATATGTATGTATTTAAAGTTATATGTGTGTAGTGTATCAACTATCTGGTATCCATAACACAAGCCTCGTAGCTTACAATGGAACTAGATGGTGCTGTGTGTTAATGTCCCAACATATTTATTTTATTTATTTATATGTAGTATATGCATGCACTGGAAATAACGTTAACAACTACACATTTTGCTATATTCAATAAAATCGATTTGAATACTAAATGTAAGACAAACTACACTACCAGTAACCTCGATCCACGATATCCATTGCTAAACTGGTGGCAATGATCATTCGGTTGCAAATGGCACGTGATTGACATCGCGATATCGCCACTTTCGATGCCCTGAAACACTTAAGGCTTTTGAGCCTCATTTTTGTTTACACAACGTATTAGCACATAATAACTATTAACTGTTCAAACGTATCCATCCATTTTAAGTTACAACATTTAAATAGTACAATAATGAGCAGGCAAAACTAAATAGTTTAGAAAGTTCAATATAAGATAAACTATACATAATTTTTTTTAGAAAATACTAAATTATTTAAAACTATAGTAAAACAAAAGATTTTAAATTGTTTTATATAAGACACGTCCGTTGTTCCATAATATGTCTTCTGTGCAAGTGTTGTTTCGTCATTCCTTTTGTATAGAAAAGGCCACAGCCATACTATACGCTCAATATGCACGAGGAGTTTTTAAATATCATAACTGTATGAATAGATAGGGCACGTGATTTCTATTTAGATCTAGTGTTGAACTGCGGTGAATGATTTATTAAACATTTACTCCAAGTAACCGTGACCTGTTTCTTGTATTTACTAAAGAAATAAGTATACACGCATCACAGATAACGGATGCTTAGGTACTATATAGTGCTAAAATATAAGCGCTTATAATAATAAAAATGAATATTGGTAAGCGCATAACTCAAGAATGGCTGGACCAATTCGCCAAAAAATTTTTTCGTATGTTCCTTAAGGTCCACGTAAGGTTTTAATAAAGAGAAAACATGAAAAATTAACGGCAAAAAAATAAAAATTTATATGGCTAACAACTATTGAAAACATACCTAGCGACGAACCCGAGCGAAGCAACAGTGAGCCGCTAGTAATAATAAAAATGTTAGTAGGCATGTATACTTAATGTGTGCACTTGCAGAGATAGATCAATATTCAATACACAAAAGTTATAAAAATTATTATTTCGAAAATTATTTTTAAGCTAACCTGTATAATTTACTAAATATTACTTCTTACTAAAAACCTACTCGACTACCATAACTGGTACTATTAATGTTTTTCTCCATGCCATGGTTTAATATGTTAAATGTCATCACCATGTTGAAACGTCTAGAGGTCAAAAACAAACAAACAAACTCAGTTTCGAAAGTAAGACAGACGCGCATAATTAAAAAAAACGCTTTGAGTTTTTGTTCTGACCTTAAAGGCAGGTAATTATTCTACTTTAATTGGTATCCGTATCTTATAGGTTATTAGAATCGTTAGCTTAATGTAAATTTTATGGACACTTACGATGGCCTGAGTATCTAAATTACAATTTTCATTGACTTAAAATGTAACGCCTGCGGTCGTATAAATTTAAAAGTTATATTTCTTTACCTGCTCATTCAAATTGATTTTAACAAAATTATAATATATGTAATTCTAATTCTGCAATGTCTGGCATGATATATAGTTACTATTATTTTTTAACAGATATAAGATGGCCATGAATAAAACATTTCTGCAATACATTCAAAATTAACTAAGCGAATGTAAAATCTGTGCCAGTCAAGTTGTCTCAAGCATCACACAACACACATTTCACATTAAATGACAACTTTGTTTAGATACACATCAAAATTGTACTAAATTCTTATCATATATGTAATATACATTTAACTGCCTCCGTGGTGTAGTGGCTAGCATGTACGGCTGCACACTCGGAGGTCCTGGGTTCGAGTCCCGGGTCGGGCCAAGTTTAGTTATTGAGTCTTTCTGTATAAGTAAGCCTCAGTAACAGCCCGGAGTTGGGAAGTTGGCGGTGTTTCACCCCCGTGCCTCGGAGAGCACGTAAAGCCGTCGGTCCTGCGCCTTAACTCTCACTGGTCGTGTCGAGCAGTCGTCCCACCGGAATATGAGAGTGACAGGAATAGAGAGTGCACGTTGTGTCTGCGCGTACACTTGTGCACTATAATATCTCCTGCGCAGTTGGCTAGTCTCAATGAGATTGGCCGCCGTGGCCGGAATCGGTCGGGAGAACATCATCACATACATAAACATAATAATCTCTAGAGCAATTAAAATAAAGCGTAAATACGAGCGTAAATATTTTATCACCTAATTCTTAGCCGACAAAAGATATCTAGAGTGCAGTTTCCGTTTGTATGTAAGTGCACGGCATTGTTTACAAAGCAATAGAGGAGTGTTGATTAGAGGTCGGGGAGAATGATAGAGCGCGCTCATGATCCACCCGCCGTATCATTAGCGCAGGAGGGTCATCCGATACGCTAGGTGCATCGCACAACAAACAAAACGTTGTACAAGTGAGAACGGGCGTTTACAATCCGGTATTGTCTGAGCGTTCTTGTAATACGAATTGAACAAAGCTGCAATTAAAACACACAAATTGTTGTAACTCGCGTATTTGAAAATGCGGACTGATTCTTGATTCACTCGGGTGTAGCCTTAGGTGCCCAGCAGTGAACATATGTAGTCTACATATTATATTCTAATATAAAACTATCTTTTCAGATTTTTTGACCCATGTCCATGATTGCTGTAAAGCATACGAAACGTAATTTTTAAACGTCGTTTTTATTTAAAATGTCAAATATTCGCGTGAATCTAAGAAAGTATTATAGTCTATTTGTTTACTATACATCCAAATCCGTCCTGCCCTTTTTGCGTGAAGAAGTAACTAAAATACAAACACATACACACATACAAATCTGTGACAATAATTATAGTAGTCCAATTTGATGAAAATTTGTGCATTGTAATAAAATGAAACCTGTAATAACTAGTGATTAGACGTTAGATGCACGCACGTACACTGTACAACTTGGAGATTTAACCTCGATATCTTATTGTCACGTTCTTATCCATCAAAAGAGATTAGCGTTCCAGCCCTATCGTAGATCACAGTAAAATAAATGACGAGTACTCTAAACTCAAAGTAAAGACTAAGGTTTAACAATGAGCGACGTGAAAGTAACATGGCGAAATACAATATCCATCATCAATTGAACACTAATCAATATGACAAAAAGATGGATAGGTTAGACTACGTTATCGTGTTGCCAAAATGTTAACTTGCTTGCTTAAACGATTTATCTCAGTTGTGTTGCCCGCTGAGCTTTTTATGAATTCATTTATTATTCATGGATAATATTTTGCTATTGTCCAGAATGTTCTAAAACATATTTAAATAAACAAATAGAGTTTGTATGCCCGATTATATTCGAAAGCCGAAAAAAATATAAAATTAAAGGTGAGTCACATTATATTTGACTCTAGCATTGCCCGCGGCTCCGCCCGCGTTCAGATGACCAAAAACCAAATTCTTAGGTTTTACATATTAGTATACTCTTACATTGCAGTTTTTGTATTTTTTCTCAGAAATGAGATATTTTCCAGCGGTAAAAAGTATCCTATGTATTGACCCGGATAACCAGCTATCACCATACCAAATTTCATCAAAATCCCTCCAGTGGTTTTTCCGTGATATGGTAACACAGACAGACAGACAAAAATTCTAAAAACTAAAGATTCGGTCTCTGCATCGATAATAAACTCTATTTCAATAAGATTTTCCAAAAAATATTTAATGTACAGATCCGGCTTAGTTACAATTTTATTATATGTATAGATAAGTACATACATATGTAAGTCAAAGAATAACTGAAAGAAACTCACATTATATAACTTTCCAAGTCATATTTTTTCCTTATATTATGTTTTTTTTTTTCTCATAATAAACAAAGAGAACGTGACTGACTATAAAACAATTAATTACATTTAAAAATTTCCATCCCTTCAACATTCTTCATTCATCACTCATGAAGCATTGCATGCCATTTAATTATGATAAATTTGTTTGTGTTATTATCTTATTATGTTTATTCTTCACTACAGTTCTACACTACTATTGCAAGGAGATAAAAAAAAAATCTAAAATCTATTAAAAAAATTACTTAATCTATACACAATAAAATCCTAACTGAGCCGAATCTGTACATTAAATAATTTTTGGAAAATCTTATTATAATAGACATTATTATTGATACAGAGGCTGAATCTATAATTTTTAGAATTTTTGTCTGTCTGTCTGTTACCGCATCACAGAAAAACTACTGGAGGGATTTTGATGAAATTTGGTATGGTGATAGTGGGTTATCGGGGTCAACATATAGGGTACTTTTTACAGCGGGACAATATCTCATTTCTGAGAAAAAATACAAAGACTTCATTGTAAGAGTATACTAACATCTAAAACCTAAGCATTTGCTTTTTGGTCATCTGATTTGGTCGTCTTATAATAGTCTAGTCTAGTAATGCACTACTCATCTAGGTATCTAATAGAGCCTCACTTAGGTACGGCTGAATAGGCACAAGTACATACATAAATAAAACTAAGTTTTTACATAGCTAACCTGACCAAGAATAACATAATATGAGCACCTTGTTGTTACATAATACTTTCTTTGATTTACGCGAATATTTGACATTTTTAAATAAAAATATCTTTTGCCATAGAGAGAGAACTCCTTTTTTTTTTTTTTTTTTTTTTTCGCTGGGGAAACCCATCATGGGGACCCTGCCGCCGTCATGGGCAGGGTACTGTGAGACTCCTACTCACTAAAACCCACAGCGGAACCCTTCGCCGCAGTGCAATGGGGCGTGCAGGATCGCTTTCGCATTCACTGCAACACCCCTGCGGAAGAGAGAGAACTCCTGCCTTAAGTCAATAGAAACAAAATTTGAATATTTTACATTATTTGACTAATATAGTTCAACAGAAAGGTCTAGTAACCTTAAATACTCTTTCTTTGCTTTCCTTAAGGCGCATATAGAAAGAAAAAAAGATATAGAAAAAAATCATTTTGCTTTTAAGTCAAGTGCGGCAAGACCGTAGAGGCAAGTACCAGGCGCGAATAATCAGCGAGGAGTTTGGCAGTGTCAGTATGGCAACAGCGCGGTTACGTAACGATTGCGGGGCCGAGGACCGGGGTGACTGACCTGTATGGTCCGCCTGCCAATTTGCCCATCGCATCACATCACGAAATCTTCGTTGCATATAATGCAAAATATACATGTTACACAGCTAAATACTTACCCGTCCAAGCTATTATCAGCTCAATGACAACGATATGGAGTTAAAAATCCTTTACACAAGATAGCACGAAACAATGCGTTAACTATTAAGTAAACAACGCGGTATAAAGTGGAACAATTTTTCAAGAAGTAGGTGGGTATATCCCCAAAAAAAATGTTGCAACCAAAAGTATTTCAAGGCTTAATAAATGTAAAAAATATATATTATATAAACATGAACTCCCATGAACCCTTAAAAAGATAGACATGCGATCGCCATCGCCACATTAAAATCATAAAATATTTAACACTTATAAAACAAACAAACATCTTCAATATAATGGGGCTTAATTCGTTCATTTATAAGAGGCCGGTGCGGAAACATGAGATGAACAGTGTAATTGTCGCAGTTGGTCACAAACCATGTCCGGGAGAAATATCCTTGACTGAGTTCCACTCAGTGCTTCAGAGACAGACTTTTTGTGCAATTTTCCGCAACATGGCGCAAATAGCTATACAAGAGAACAAGTGTAATTAACGAAAAGAATGAAATTCATATTTAAGCAGACTTAAAAGCTAACGAACTCTGTATGAGAACGGCGAAACGTATTGAAGACCTTAACTTGATTTTCGTAAACTTCAAAATTGTAGTCTCACGCTACGACTTTCGTTTCTCTGCAATAACTGAATGCTGACATAATGAAAAACAGGATTCGTAACGAAACCCTTACAAAAAGCGGTTGCTTTCGGTCTTGCTAACCATCGTCGCGCCAAATTTGGCTCAAGAGCGACTTGGCAACGTCGTGCCGGCCGCTCATGATATGCACGTAGCCACTTTACTGGGCGTAAACAAATGATATTGCGTCATGGCCTCGCATCAAACAAATTACACCTAATGTTGATAGCTGTAAAGCTGAAATCTCAGCGAAGCCTATAAAGTTGTTATTCACGAATTTCTTGCTATAATTTTGAATAACACCTAACTATTTATTGGATGAAAAAGAAATTTATTTAACAAAACTACACCGTTGAGTCTCGGTAAAAACAGCCAGCGCAATAATAAACTTTTCCTGATATTTAAATAAACCGTACAGGATTACGTTTCGAGGAGACCACCGTATGTGTGTCGCCGGATATTCTTTATATACTCATATGTATGGTACTGTGTTACCTCGCTATCAAAGATTAAAAAAAAAACAATATTTGTCTGTGCTCAATAGGTAATATATTCCCGACAGTCACGTTATCCCGTCACGAGGCCCAGCCTTTGCTCCACGTGCCCTGACAGTCTGTTACGTAAACACCGATTATATTTTCCATCTCAAAATGTGTTAGGAAGCGTGGCTGACGGCGTGATGCTTTACAAAACCCTGAATACATAATGCAATCTTTCGAAATGCAAATGAACCGACTAAATAATAAAATTTAGTAGATATTGTATAACGTACGTATATTTAAAATAAATTTGAAATACAGCTAATACATACATAATGTTATAAGTAATACAACTAATTGAACTAAAGATTAATCTAATATATGTATGTATAAATATCTCGTGTCACGGTGTTTGTGGCCACACTCCAAAACGGCTCGACCGATTTTAATGATATTTTTTGCATATTTGGTAGGTATGAGAATAGGTCATAAAGTATTTTTTACTCTCCTACCTCCACCCCCCATTTTTTAATCGCGATTTTAGTATTTTTGTATAAACAATATTATGGTGAGGGTGAATCGCTGTATGACATAAAGCCAAAGAGTTTTTTTTTGTAGATTGAACGCGGACGTAGCCGCGGGTTCTGCTAGTAGTATATAAAATGACAATGTAACGGGTTCAAATTAATATTTTTGTTTGTTAAAAGGATGTGCGATTGGATGGAATCAATCGCATATCATTGAGGAAACAAAAAATGAGCCTTTATAAATAGTGCAGCTAGTAGATGCAGTAA